GCTGGGATTACAGGCACGCACCACCATGCCCAGCTGATTTTTTGTATTTTTAGTAGAGACGGGGTTTCACCGTGTTGACCAGGATGGTCTCGATCTCTTGACCTCGTGATCCACCCGCCTCGGCCTCCCAAAGTGCTGGGATTACAGGCTTGAGCCACCGCGCCCGGCCGAGGATGGTTCTTTTGACTGATCAAGAAAGGGCTTTCAGAGCGGACAACATTTTCACTGAGACTGACAAGGTGGCAGCCGACTTGGGAGGCAGGGAAGTCAAGCAGAATGACAAGGTTTGGCTACGCCCCTGCCTGAATCACACCTTGAATTGTAGTAACTCCCACTTGTCAAGGGCAGGATCAGGTGGAGATAATGGAATCATGGGGGCAGCTTCCCTCATACTGTTCTCCTGGTAGTGAATAAGTCACGTGAGATCTTATGGTTTTAGAAATGGGAGTTCCCCTGCACAAGCTCTGTCTCCTGCCTGCCACCATGTAAGACATGACTTTGCTCCTCATTCACCTTCTGCCATGATGGTGGGGCCTCCCCAGGATGTGGAACTGTGAGTCCATTAAACCTCTTTCCTTCATAAATTACCCAGTCTTGGGTATGTCTTATGCCTTTATGAGCAGCGTGAGAACAGACTACTACACAGAGGTAGCCAGTGCAAAGGCCCTGCGGCAGAAATCACCTTGGAGGAAAGGCAAGATAGAAGGGCAACAGAAAACCACTCAGGAGACACGGCCCTGCTTATTTTACTTATTTATTTAGACGGAATTTTGCTCTTGTTGCCCTATTTATTTAATGAGATGGAGTTTCATTATTGTTGCCAAGACTAGAGTGCAGTGGTGCAGTCTTGGCTCACTGCAACCTCTGCCTCCCAGGTTCAAGTGATTCTCCTGCCTCAGCCTCCAAGTAACTGGGACTACAGGCACCTGCCACCACACCGAGCTAATTTTTGTATTTTGAGTAGAGATGAGGTTTCACCATGTTGGCCAGGCGGATCTCGAACTCCTGACCTCAGATGATCTGCCTGCCTCGACCTCCCAAAGTGCTGTGATTACCAGCGTTGAGTCACCACGCCTGGCGGTATTTACAGTCAAAGTTGACAAAGGGAAAAGAACTTGCGATGAGTTTGATTCGAGTGGGAGAGATGAAAGGGACAGAGGATTTTAGTGTCAGCCAGCAAAAGGCTGGTAGGGTGCTGTTACAGACTGAATATCTGTGCCCATCCAAAATTTATATGTTGAAGCCCTAACTCCCAACATATTAGGAAATAGGACTTTGGATAGGTAATTAAGGTTAGACAAGGTCATGAAGTGGGGCCCTGGTCTGATGGGATTAGTGCCCTCATAAAAAGAGATTCCAGAGAGTTCTGTCTCCACGCATGCATCAAGGAAAGGCCACGTGAGGACACAGCACTGTGAGGAGTCGGCCATTCGCAAGCCAGCAAGAGAGCCCTTGCCAGAAACTGAACACTGCTGGGTCTTAAACTTCAGCCTCCAGAACTTTGAGAAAATAAATTTCTATCGTGTAAGCCATCCAGTGTATGATATTTGCTATGGCAACCTGAGCCCTTTACTGAGATAGGAAAATTTCAAATTCTGAATAAAATTTGCCTAGGTCTCCAGGACGAAACATTTCAGAGTTGAAACCAATATAGGAAAACAATGGGGCTGGTTGTGGTGGCTCATGTCAGTAATCCCCAGCACTTTGGGAGGCTAAGGCAGGAGGATCTCTTGAGCCCAGGAATTTGAGACCAACCTGGGCAACATAGCAAGACCCCATTTCTACAAAAGTTAAAGAGTAGCCATGCATGGTGGCAGCATGCCCATTGTCCCAGCTACTCAGGAGGCTGAGGTGGGGGGACTGCTGGAGTGCAGGAGGTGGAGGCTGTAGTGAAGCAAGATCAAGCCACTGTACCCTAGCCTGGGCAACAGAGTGAGATCCATCTGAAAAAGAAAAAGGAAAATGATGGGATTCTATCAGTGAAGGCTACAGAAGTGTGTCTAAGGCACAGAACCCTGCCTGTCGTTCAGAGATGCCCCATGCTCACCTCTCAGCCTTTGCCCAGTGCTGACAGCTGCTCTCAGAGGTCTCACCCTGATTTCTGATCTTCCCCAAACTCCTTCCAGTGGAACTGCAAAACCCTGTTTTCCTTACTGCTGCTTTCGCTTGCTGTGGAAATAACAGCTTCTTTATAAGTCACATTTGAAAGTTACCATTCCCTTTATCAGATGGCCTGGCCCCGGAGCACTGCCTTGACCCACTGAAGAGCAGGTGTTATGAAACCTTACAACTTGCCTTCTGGAAAAAGTAGCTTGTTCTACTCATGCAGACCACAACCGTCTTACCTAGTTCAGGTGACAACTAACATCAAGGTGACAGGCACAAAAAAGAAAGTCATAGAAGCATTCAGCATGTGGTAAAATGTCCAAGATTCCAGGCTGAAGAAAGGGTATTTTTAGATAAACAGAACTGGAAGTTGAAAGGCTCTTTTTGACAATTTTTTTTTTTTTTAAGATGGAGTTTGTGAAATTTGCTTAAAGAAAAAACAAGCAAATGATATTTATATAAAACAATGCCTGGAATGTGAACTGAGACTTTAAAGACTTTAAAGCAAATATAGTTTTCACGATGGCAGGAAAACAATCTGTATTAAGAATATGATCAGGTTGGCCAGGCACGGTGGCTCACGCCTGTAATCTCAACACTTTGGGAGGCCAAGGTGAGTGGATCACTTGAGGTCAGGAGTTCAAGACCAGCCTGGCCAACATGGTGAAACCCCGTCTCTACTAAAAATACAAAAAATTAGCCGAGCATGGTGGTATGCGCCTGTAATCACAGTTACTCAGAAGGCTGAGGCAGGAGAATCACTTGAACTCAGGAGACAGAGGTTGCAGTGAGCTGAGATCGCACCACTGCACTCCAGCCTGGGCAATAAGAGTGAAACTCCATCTCAAAAAAAAAAAAAAAAATACAATCAGGTTAAGCCCCAGATTCCTAAATAAAAAGAGGAGATGCTGGGCCCATCTGACCTACTCCCAGGCATGTCTAGGCACAGCTATTAACTGGATTAAGCACAATAATACTTTGCCTGCCAGAAGTTTCTTACACACGGCCTCATTTGGTTCCCACAAACCTCACGAGATAGGCAGGCATTGAGCCCATTCATTTAATAGCTAAGCACACATCCTCGAGGGATATATTCCAAGGCCCCCAGTGGATGCCTGAAGTGACAGACAGCACCTGACCTTACACCTGACCTTATGTTTTCTGATCTGATAACCCAGGCAGCTCCTAAGTGACCCGTGAGCAGGTAGTGTCTACAGCACTGATCTGCTGGACAAAGAGACGATTCACGTCTGGAGCAGGACAGAGTGGGACAGTGTGAGACTTCACCACACCAGATGGTGCACAATTGAAAACTTATGGATCGTTTCTTTCTGGAATTTTCCATTTAATATTCTCAGGTCATAGTTGACCATGGATAACTGAAATAGTGGAAAGTAATATGATCCTATGTTGTAGACAATATAGGATCATAAAGGGTTAAGTCACTTGCTCAAGATCACAAAGCTGGCAAGTAGTAGAACCAGAATTCTAACCCTTGGCTCACTTTCTCCCCCGCTCCCTCTCTTCCTCCCTTCTTTTTCCCTCCCTTCCTTTTCTCTCCCTTCCTTTTTCCTTCCTTCCTTCCTTCCTTCCTTCCTTCTTTCCTTCCCTGCCTGCCTGCCTCCCTCCCTCCCTCCCTCCTTCCTTCCTTTTTTTCCCTCCCTCCCTCCCTTCCCTCCTTCCCTTCCCTCCTCTCTCCTTCTTTTCTTTTTCTCTTTCTTTTCTTTTCTTTCTTTCTTTCCCTTCCTTCCTTTTCTTTCCTCCCTCCCTCCTCCTTCCTTTCCCATTTTTTCTTCTTTTTTTTTGAGACAGGATCTCACTCGCTCTGCTACCCAGGCTGGAGTACAGTAGCACAATCTTGGCTCACTGCAGCCTTGACCTCTCAGGCTCAGGTGACCCTACCACCTCAGCCTCCCAAGTAGCTGGGACTACAGGCATGTATCACCATGCTTCACTAATTTTAGCATTTTTTCTTTTTTACAGAGATGGAGTTTTGCCATGTTGTCCAGGCTGGTCTTGAACTCCTGGGCTCAAGTCATCCACCTGCCTCAGCCTCCCAAAGTGCTGGGATTACAGGTGTGAGCCACGGGGCCTGGCCAGAGACCACTTTCTTTTCCATACATCAGAAGTTCCAAACCTGGCTGGATATCTGAATCAGCTAGACAGCTTGTTTAAAAATCTGATTCCTGGGTCCCACTGCTGAAGTCTGACTTGGCAGGCTTGGGCTGGGGTCTGGGAATCTGTTTTTATTAAGTTCTCAGCTGATGATCTGAGCAAGGGGTTGCTGGGATGGACCAGATCTGTGCCTGCTAGAAGGTCCTGTCAAGAGAGTCAGGGAACCCCCAGCAGAGCCCCAGAAACCACCCTGGGCTCAAGGAGGAGGGTCTGTGGTCAGGGCTCATTCATCCGCGGTGGTAGTTCCTGCTGTGCCGGATTGGTTAAGCTGGAACTGTATTTCCCAGACTCCCCTTCCCTGACTGGTTCTAGGTTCCAATTGGCCAAAAGAGGAAACTGTGGCAAGCTGGGAGGTGGAAGTGAAGCAGCAGCCATTACACTCTAGAGGCCATCACGATTGGATGTGGTGAGAGACAGCCCCATGGGTTCCAGCAGATTCCAGCCTGTCCTCCACTCTGCATCCAGCTCTTTCTCCTGACTGCTGGTCCTGTTACCACCCCTGGACACTTAGCTGGGGATGGACCAGAAAACAGCTGGCTGTAGACCTCTCCACTAGTTTCCTCGTGTACTCAGGGCCAGGGGGTGATGCCTCTGACCCCTGACAACTCTTTCATCTTCACTTCTGCTGCCCCCCTATGAATGCATAAGATCTAATTCCTATAATAAACCCCTTATCCCATAGGCCATAGAAGTTTGGCTTCTCTGATTGACCCTGAAGGATGCCATCATCCACTCTGTCCTGTAAACCTATTGATCTAAAACAGTGGTCTTCCGGGTGTGGCCCGAATCAACAGCATCAGTGTCACCCAGGAGCTGGTTGGAAATGCACATTCTGGGGCCCCACTTAGACATACTGAATCAGAAACTGGGGGTGGGGGATGTGGCGGGGGAGGAAGGGCCCAGCAATCTGTGTTTTTGGGTTTTGTTGTTGTTGTTTGTTCATTTGTTTTGAGACAGAGTCTCGCACTGTTGTCCAGGCTAGAGTGAAATGGTGCGATCTCAGCTCACTGCCACTCCACCTCCCAGGTTCAGCAATTCTCCTGCCTCAGCCTCCCGAGTAGGTGGCATTACAGGCATACACCACCACACCTGGCTAATTTTTTGTATTTCTAGTAGAGACGGGATTTCACTATGTTAGCCAGACTGGTCCCAAACTCCTGACCTCATGATCCGCCTGCCTTGGCCTCCCAAAGTGCTGGGATCACACGTGTGAGATACTGCACCTGGCCCAATCTGTGTTTTAACAAGCCCCCCATCCCAGAGAATTCTAACACAAGCTGAAGATGGAGAACCTCATGCAGGCATTTAGAAAACCTGTCTCCATTTCTGTTTGGGATGATGTAGCAGTTCTGGAAAAAAACAGTGGCAATGGTCACACAGCACTGTAAATGTGGTTAATGCTCCTGAAGTGCACACTTAAAAATGGTTGAAATAGGCCAGGTGTGGTGGGGGCTCACGCCTATAATTCCAGCACTTTGGGAGCCCGAGGTGTGCAGATCACTTGAGCTTGGAAGTTTGATACCAGCCTGGGCAACATGGCAAAACCCTGTCTCTACCAAAAAATACAAAAACTAGCTGATGTGGTGACATGCGCCTGTGGTCCCAGCTACTCAGGAGGCTGAGGTGGGAGGATCGCTTGTGCCCGGGAAGCAGAGGCTGCAGGAGCTGAGATCATGCCCCTGCACTCCAGCGCACGTGGCAGAGTGAGATCTTGTCTCAAATTTTAAAAAGGTTAAAACAGTTTTTAAAAATTTTTAAAAAGCTTAGAAGCCATACACAAAAAGGTCACATGTTGTGTGATTCCATTTATATGCAATGTCCAGAAAGACAGAAAGCAGATGGGTGGTTGCCAGCAGCGAGGTTGGTCGGGGAGGGTGGTGATGGGGAGGGAAAGCTTAGTGGGTACAGGGTTCTTTTTGGGGTGATGATAATGTTTTGGAACTAGATAGAGGTGGCAGTTGCACAACACTCTGAGTGTACAAGGTACCACGAAATTGTTCATTTTAACATGGTTGATGTGATGCTCTGTGAATTTCTGAGGCTCACCGTTGTATCTCTGAGAGTTAGCATTTATTGAGACGCTGTGCTAAGTGTCATTTCATCCTCACCCCCACCCAGGGAGGTGGCATTGTTATCGTTCCCATTTAATGGATGTGGAACCCAGGCAGCCTAACTCCAGAATCCGTGCTTTGAACCAAAATACCATTGTGCCCAGAACCATGAGTTATTTCTTCGTGCAGAAGACAGAAACCAGACATCAGCCACAGCCGCCCTGATCACACTTAAAAGCAGTATCCCTGTCACCGAGCTTTACCTTGCTCTACAGCAGAGGGCCGGGGGAGAGGAGGGAAGGGAGAAGACCGGCTTGCTCATGGGTCCATACTCCCGGGCATTCTGAGATAAAGCCCCATGGCTCTCAGATGTACTTGGCTTGGAGTTGAAATGGACTTATTAGAATGGAAAGATTTTCAAAAATAACCATGACAGTAACACCCAAAAATGTACTGAACATGTACAGTGTTAAGTACTTTTAGAGTTTAATCTTCACAGAATCCTAAAACTATTCTCCGCATTTTGAGAAAGTGAGCCATGGCTCAAGGTCACCCAGATCATTAGGACCATTTGAACTTAAAGCTATTACTTTAATACAAAGTCATACATGTTTCTCTGTGGGAAGCTCAGAAAGTACAGGTCTGAAAAGACAAGACAGGCTGGGCGCGGTGGCTCACGCCTGTAATCCCAGCACTTTGGGAGGCTGAAGCAGGCAGATCACAGATCAGGAGTTTGAGACCAGCCTGGCCAATACGGTGAAACCCCGTCTCTCCTAAAAATATAAAAATTAGCTGGGCGTTGTGGTATGCACCTGTAATCCCAGCTACTCAAGAGGCTGAGGCAGGAGAATCGCTTGAACCCAGGAGGTGGAGATTGCAGTGAGCCAAGATCACACCACTGCATTCTGGCCTGGGCAACAGAGGGAAACCCCATCTCAAAAAAAAAAAAAAAAAAAGATAGAGACAGAGGGAATAAAAATCACTTGTAATCCATTAGGAATAATCATTAGAAACATTATAGTAAATAGTCAAATTTTTATTCTTTGTGTGTTTTTTTGAAATAAAAAATGGACCAGCTTCATAATCTGCCTTTTTACATTAGCAAATTAGACTCATCTTTCTAAGTCTTTCAAAGCCTCTGCATCAGCGCCATTTTGAATGGCCATGTGGTGTTCCCCTTGTGTAACCTTGTAGAAACCACAGCAGATTTTCCAGCTTTCATATGGGACATTTGGGTTGTTTCTACAAGAACAATTTCAGCTGGGAAAAATGTTTTAATCAGGTTGCTGAAATTTATCAAACTTCCTCCCTGAAATGAGCAGTAACATGGTGGTGGGGCAGGGGGCAGTGATCAGCTTTTGGGGGGTTGATATTTGCTACTGGATAGACCCAAGCACCAAGCAACATAGTCTCATGCACATTTATTTCAGGGGCAAATTTTGGGGGGGAAAGGGCTCTAATTTTTATATGTTGAACCTGAAAATTTTCACCTGAAGACAAAGTTAAAAAAAAGTCTCTCAGATTTACCCATCTCACTCCTTAAAAAGAAGAGCTTGATTCCTTGGCAACAAAGAACAAATGTTCCTCAGAATCCCAAGTTATCTCCTACTTCCCAGTTCTGAAGTTACACACCAGGTAAATCTAGTTAGATGCCAGTACTCTTGTTTCTCACCACAGCATAATAGTTCAGAATACAGACTCTGGAATGAGACTGGCTGGGTTCAAATCCCGGCTCCATTCCTTTACTTTCTAGCTGTGGGCCCGGTTATTAGCTCACTAAACCCTTGGGGAGGAAGTGCTGAAGATAGAAGCTTGGGTCCCTGAATGACTGTGTGGAGCCAAGACTCCACCTTCCCACCCAGTACATGAAAATGTAACTGGCGTGCCTTAAGTCCTTGAGATGTGGGGTAGTTTGCACTGTAGCTAGCATACTCCTGCCTCAGTTTCCCCAACATAGAACTGTTTGAGCATCAAATGACTTAAGAGTGACGGGAAAGCTTAGGTGCTCCCCGCTCCAACTCTAGATACTGACTCTATCAAGGATAGTTCCCAAACATCTGTAAATTTTATCATGAGCTGGATATGGCTCTGCCTCCCTGGAATTTCCCTAAACTCTTCTTGAATATTTTTCAGCCTGAAGCCCTCTTGTGGGAAGCAAGTTTGTCTACTCCTTTCCGTGATAAGTTCCCAGTCACTGGCTCACCCTGGGCAGGAGAATATGCGTCTTCTAAAGCTACCAACAGACTTCCTCAGACACAGTGAGTCAGTACAAACACACGGGCACGGTTGAAGAACTCCATGACCTTCGTCTCTTTTGGCTCAGCCAGGCACAGTTCCTCTTAGCCCAAGACAAAACTTAGCCTAAGCCTTATAAATCAATGGCTCTACCAGCTTCCAATCATTAAACCAAGGGGCAATAATATAGAAAATTGCAATGTGTACATTCTGAGTTACAGCCAATTACAGATTTATCCAAGTTCATTATATATTTATCTGCCATTTATCTGTAAAAGATCGCGTCTACGGTCCTGCCTTTCTTCTTTTCTTCCCCACACCCTTTCTTTCTTCTGGTGCACGGATCCTTTTGAGAATCTGATGAAAGCTACTGACCTGCCACAGAAAAATGCAGAGATAGAATGCTTGGCAATTTCAGGTGGTTAGCGGGTCCTTAAAGGTGACTGAGGACCCTCACATGAGTTATTACAAGTTTGAAATTACCCAACAATTTCATAATGATCCTGACAACTATAATACTTTATCGCTTTGATTATTGGGAAAACATCTAAAAGCAGCATTTTAAAAGCGTCATTATACGCAGAGACAATTTCTAGAAGTATGTACGAGAAATTGCAGATGGTGGCTACCTCTCATATAAGGGACCGGGAGCCTGGAATGAGAGGAGAGGTATATTTTTTCATGGACATCCTTTTAGACTGTTTGATTTTTTTTTTCACCATGTGCATATATTAGTTTCCCAATTAAAGAAAAAGTTAATTAAAAATTTATTTAAGTGAAGAACTTTCACGACTCATTGTCATTTCCATGCCTGTGATATGGGGAAGGGAGAGTCATCAATGGGGGGGGCAGTCAACCTCTTACCTAGCAGGGTAGAACTCACATCAGCTGGCAAAAGCGAAAGCATCACTCCAGGAGAGACAAATGGTTTCTACTGGGTCTTCAACACAGGTCACTGAAGTTCCACACGGGAGGAGAAGTGATCATCAGTGTTTCCTTAGGTCCCTGCATAGCCCTGCTGCTGGCCAGAAGAACTGGCCCAAACCTTCTAAGTTTGCTCATTTCATATAAAGATAAACATATACTCACACACAGACCCAAAAATTCCACTCCTAGGTATTTGCTCAAGAGAGATGAAAACATATGCTGATACTAAAACCTCTGAATGCTTATAGCGGCTTTAATCATTATCACAACAAGTAGACACAATCTAAATATCCTTTTAACAGGTGAAGGGATAAGTAAACTGTTGCACATTCACACCATGGAATAAACGCAGTGTGGGGAAATCGCAAATGTATTCTACTGAGCAGAAGCGGCCAGACTCCAAAGGCATCATACTGTATAATTCCATTTACAGGATATCCTGGGAAGGGCAAAACTATAAGGACAAGAAACAGATCAGTGCCTGCTGGGGGTGGAGGCGGGAGAGACGACAAAGAAGCAGCAGGAGAGAATTTTGGGGGGTGATGGAACTTTTCTTTACCTTGATTGTGCTGGTGGCGGTTACATGACTGCCTGTGTTTGTCAAAACTCATCGAGCTGTGCTCGAACGGAAAATTGCATGTATGTATACACAACACAACGCTGAGCGAGTATTTTCTTTTCTTTTTTCCTTTTTTGAGATGGAGTCTCACTCTGTCATCCAGACTAGAGTGCAGTGGCGTGATCTTGGCTCACTGCAAACTCTGCCTTCTGAGTTCAAGCGATTCTCCTGCCTAAGCCTCCCAAGTAGTTGGGATTACAGGTATGCACCACCACACCCAGCTAATTTTGTATTTTTGGTAGAGATGGGGTTTCACCATGTTGGCCAGGCTGGTCTCAAACTCCTGACCTCAAGTTATCTGCCTGCCTTGGTCTCCAAAAGTGCTGGGATTACAGCGTGAGCCAGCGCACCCAGCCCTGGGCGAGTATTTTCTCATAGTTGCCTGTGAGTCAGGTGCTGTGGCTTCCACCATGCTCCTATCCTAGCTTCCTAAGTCTAAGAAGAGAGGCCAAGGGTAAACCAAACTACCAGGAGTAGGAGCTGACGTCTTCAAACCTTCAAACCTCTCCACAGCTCACAAAGTACCTGGCAGTAATCCCTGTGGGGTGGGTAACAAGCCTTTGGGTCTTCAGCACAGGTCATTAAAGTTCCAAATGGGAGGAGAGGGCGTTATCAATAACAGTTTTCTCTTGTTATGAAAACAATGCTTGTTTATTAAATAAAAATTAGTTAAGCATGGATTAGCAGAAAGAAAATCCAAACCCCTCATTGCCACCCCCATCCATAACCACAGCTGATAAATATCTATGATGGTCTCCATGCTTTCTTGTGAGCTGTGTAAACAAAACACTTGTTTTGTTTTTTACAAAAATGGAATATTACTGCAATATGGTTTTATAACCTTTTTTTTTTTTTAAATGAGGCAAAGTCTTACTCCGTCACCCAGGCTGGAGTGCAGTGGTGCGATCTCAGCTCACCGCAACCTCCGCCTCCCAGTATCACCCTAATTTTTAAAAATGTGATGTATATGGACAGTCTTTCGTATCATCAGTATTCATTGACACTGGGATTTTTAGTGGTTGAGAACCACTTCAGTATATGAAAGAGCTGCAATTTACATCAGCAATTCCCTGTTGCTGCAAATATATTTGATTTCTAGTTTTATTGCTATTATAAAAAATAGTGTTGAAATTAATTCTTATATAACCATAAATTGTTACCTCGGGATAACAAGATGAAATCTTGGCATCGAAGATTTTTAATACGGAGATTAAAATCTTGGAATTAAAAGTGTCTGAGAGCTAAGTGTTTTAAAGGTTTGGGCCTGCATTTTCAGACTGTTCTTCAATGTACACTTCCACGCTGAGCTCCTGAAAGCACTACCTCCCAGTTAGCATTCTTTATTTAAATTAAAATTTTAAAACTTTGAAAATGTTTTAGATTTCCTATGTGAAAGATGGCATTGTTTTAATTGGCATTTCCTTTACTGTGATGGAGTTGAATAATGATTCTTTTTTTCCCCATGTACTAATTGGCCACCAGCATTCTTTCTTCTTTTTTTTTTTGAGACAGGGTCACCAGGCTGGAGTGCAGAGGCCTAGTCACTGCTTACTGCAGCCTCTACCTCCTGGACTCTTGCAATCCTCCTGCCTCAGCCTCCCAAGTGACTGAGACTACAGGTGCATGCCACCATGCCCAACTAATTTTGTTCATTCTTTATAGAGACGAGGTCTCACCATGTTGCCCAGGCTGATCTCTAACTCCTGGACTCAAGCAATCCTCTTGCCTCAGCCTCCCAAAATGTTGGGATTGCAGGTGTCAGCCACGGTGCCCAGCCTCAGCATTTCTGCTTTAGCCCATTTCTCAACTAGGCCATTCAACTTTTCCTTACTCACTAGAAAAGCTCCTGCATGTGTTCAGAATGCAACCCCTTGTCTGTTCTGCATTGCAAATATTGTCTCCAGTTTATCATTTGATGTATCAAAGTTTTTAAATTTTAGGAGTCTAATCTATCAATCATTTTCAATAATTTCTTTTATAATATTGCCTTTCACTATCTTGTTTAGAAATACCCTTCCAAAAAAGGAGCTGCAGTAACTTTAGAGCGGAGACACGTGGCAGACACCACCTTAACCAAGTGACCAAGGCTGATGTCGCCGATAAGAAGTTACACTGATATTATGTCCCTCCTAACGTGATTCAATGAGAAGCACACTTCACCTTTGTAGGATTCTTTCTCAAAACCCAAAGGCCCAGTCCAGCCATGAGAAGATATCAGACAAACCCAAATTCAGGGAAGTTCTACAAAACACTAACCAGTACTCTTCAAAGTTCTCAAAGTCATGAAATTTAAGAAAAGACTGAGAAGTTGCCGCAGTCTGGAAGAGACTAAGGAGACAGGATGATCAAATGCAATGTGGGATCTTCAGTTGGATCCTGGAGAATAAACATGCGGTGGGAAAACTGGTGAAATCTAAATCAAGTACTACAGAGGCTGAGGCAGGAGAATTACTTGACCTTGGTAGGTGGAGGTTCCAGTGAGCCGAGATCGTGCCACCGGGTAACAGAGTGAGATTATAAAAAAAAAAAAAATGATGCCAACATTAGGGGAAGTTGGGTGAAGGGTGGACAGAAACGCTCCATATTACCTTTGCAACTTTTTTTTTTTTTGAGACAGAGTCTCGCTCTATCACCCAGGCTGGAGTGCAGTGGCATGATCTCAGCTCATTGCATGCAACCTCTGCTTCCTGGGTTCAAGTGATTTTCCTGCCTCAGCCTCCCGAGTACCTGGGATTACAGGTGCGCACCACCACACCCGGCTAATTTTGTATTTTTAGTAGAGACAGGTTTTACCATGCTAGCCAGGCTGGTCTCGAACTCCTGACTTTGTGATCCACCTGCCTCAGCCTCCTAAAGTGCTGGGATTACAGGTGTGAGCCACTGCACCTGGCTACTTTTTTATAAATCTAAAATTATTCCAAAGTTAAACAATTTTTTTTTAAAGTCTTGGGTAGGACTGTCATTGGATGGATTAGAAATAAAATGGGTGTCTCTTTTGTTGCAACTATTATGCAAAATAAGTGTCCAAACTAACTCCATATATTCATTAATTGTTTCCTTAGCATAAACTTCTGGAATTGAAATAATTGTGATTTTTCAAGCCTATGGGAGGTCTAGAAAGACAGGCAGAAGGAACAGGAAGGAATAAAGCCACCAAAGTTCCTGGCTTTGAGCAGGGGTACGAGGAAGGTGGTGGAGGAAAGTAGTTCCTTGTGACTGATGGCAGTTGAATTGGGGGTAGGACAGCAGTAATAGGCCTGGAAAGATTAACCGAGGCCGACTCTTAAAAAGTCCATTCTTTATAGTGTTGAAAGTTAAAGAGCTTAGCCTTGGCTTGATCCTGCTGGCAGTGGGGAAGTGGCAAAGATTTCAGATCAGTGCATTTGACACGATTATTGATTTGTTATTTTACTTGTTGGTTTCCTAGTTGACTGACTCCTCCCTGCCACCTAATAACGTATAAGCTCCCAGAGGGCAGGAACTGAGCCTGTCTTAGGCATTGTTTTCCCCCAAAGCCTGGAAGAACACCTGGCCTGTAGAGAGAACGCAACAATGTGGCTGAATGACTATCTGAGTCTTGTTTCCAAAATGACTCCCACCCGCTCCTGCCCCGCCCCACCACCAATTTGTACTGTGATAAAATGCATATAACATAAAATTTACTATCGTAACCATTTTTACATGAACAGTTTAGCGGCATTAAGTACATTCATACTGCTGTGCAACCATCACCATCATTCATCCACAGAATGCTTTCATTTTACAAAACTGAAACTCCTTACCCATTAAACCCTAACTCCCCATCCCCCTTCCTGCACACCCCGCCTCTGGCAACCAACATTCTACTTTCCATCTCTATGACACCGCCTGCTCTAGGTTCCGCACACAAGTAGAATCATACAGTATTTGTCTTTTTGTGACTGGTTTATTTCACTTAGCATAATGTCCTCAAGGTTCGTCTGTGTTGCAGCCTGGTGTCAGAATTCCCTTCCACAGTGAGGCTGAATAATATTCCACTGTATAGATAAACCACACTTTGCTTATCCATTCATTCTTAGATGGACACTTGGGTTTCCATATTTTAGCTCTCTTGAGTAATGCCCATATCAACATGGGTGTACAAATACCTCTTTAAAAACCTGTTTTCAATTCTTTTGAGTATTGATACAGTTTGGATATTGGTCCTCTTCAAATCTTATGTTGAAATTTGAGCCCCAGGCTGGCCGTGGTGGCTCATGCCTATAATCCTAGCACTTTGAGAGGCGGAAGTGGGTGGAATAATTCGAGGCCAGGAGTTTGACACCAGCCTGGCCAACATGGTAAAACCCCTTCTCTACTAAAAATAGAAAAATTAGCTGGGCATGGTGGCACATGCCTGTAATCCTAGCTACTAGGGAGGCTGAGGCAGGAGAATCACTTGAACCCAGAAGGCAGAGGTTGCAGTGAGCTGAGATTGTGCCACTGTACTCCAGCCTGGGTGACAGAGTGAGACTCTGTCTCAAAAAAGAAATTTGATTCCCACTGTTGAAGGTGGGGTCTAGTGGGTGTTTGGTTGATGGGGTGGATCCCTCTTTCATGACTTGGTGCCCAGAGACCTGGTTATTATAGAGTCACGTGTCTCACCATGTCTCACCACGTGATGCCTGCTTTCCTTCTGCCATGAGTCAAACCTTCCGAAGGCCCCCACTAGCAGCAGATGCCAGTGCCATGCTTCTTGTACAGCCTCATATTTCTGTGAGCTAAATAAACCTCAGTTGTTGTTTTTTTTGAGACAGAGTCTTGTTCTGTCACTAGGCTGAAGTGCAATGGTGTGCTCTTGGCTCACTGAAACCTCTACCTCCCAGGTTCAAGCGATTCTCTTGCCTCAACCTCCCAAATAGCTGGGACTACAGGTGCCAGCCACGACGCCCAGAGAATTTTTGTATTTTTAGTAGAGACAGGGTTTCAACCTGTTGGCCAGGATGGTCTCCATCTCTTACCTCGTGATCCACCCACCTTAGCCTCCCAAAGTGCTGGAATTATAGGTATGAGCCCCCGTGCCCGACCAATAAACCTCTTTTCTTTATAAATTACCCAGCCTCAGGTATTCCTTTATAGCAACATAAATGGACTAAGACACATATGCTGCTGGACAAACTGCTTAAGCCTATGGTTATTCAATTTTAATTTTTTGAGAAAGTGCCATACCCAAAATGTCTTTTTATTTATTTTTTGAGATGGAGTCTCACTCTGTCGTCCAGGCTGGAGTGCAGTGGCACTACCTCGGCTCACTGCAACCTCTGCCTCCTGGGTTCAAGTGATTCTTGTGCCTTAGCCTTCCGAGTAGCTGGGATTACAGGCGTATGCCACCACACCTGGCTAATTTTTGTATTTTTAGTAGAGACGGGGTTTCACTATGTTGGCGAGGCTGGTCTCGAACTCCTGGCCTGAAGGGATCTGCACACCTCAGCCTCCCGAAGTGCTGCAATTACAGGCATGAGCCCTGCTCCCAGCCCCCAAAATGACTTTTAAGAAGAGACTATATAAAATATTGTTTTCCGCCTCTGCCCCCAGGATCTGCCCTGAGTGTGGCGTTTCTACACTCAGTATTGGCCTGTGTGACTGAAGCTCTCTTACACCTTGGGGCCTTTGCATAGGCAGCTGCCACCACCAGGAAGACCTCCGGCTGCTGCTGCTGCGTTCCCTACCCCCTGCCCCGCGTTCCCCACTTCAGCTCAGACTGCACTCTTTCTGAAAATCCTTCCTGACTCTCCAAGTTTGGGTTAAGCCTCTTCCTTCTCAGGCTGCACTTCCTCTTCTTTATTCAAGTATTAAGGTACTGAAAATCTAGGCAAAACCATTCAGGATGTAGGTGTAGGCAAGGACTTCATGACCAAAACACCAAAAGCATTGACAACAAAAGCCAAAATAGACAAATGGGACCTAATCAAACTCCACAGCTTCTGCACAGCAAAAGAAACAGTCATTAGGGTGAATCGGCAGCCAATAGATTGGGAAAAAATTTTTGCAGTTTACCCATCTGACAAAGGGCTGATATCCAAAATTTACAAAGAACTAAAACAGATTTACAAGAAAAAAACTAACAAGCCCATTCAAAACTGGGCAAAGGATATGAACAGACACTTTACAAAAGAAGACATACGTGAGGCCAACAAACATATGAAAAAATGCTCATCATCACTGGTCATCAGAGAAATGCAAATCAAAACTACATTGAGATACCATCTCATGCCAGTTAGAATGGCAATCATTAAAAAATCTGGCGACAACAGATGCTGGAGAGGATGTGGAGAAATAGGAACACTTTTACACTGTTGGTGGGAGTGTAAATTAATTCAACCATTGTGGAAGACAGTGTGGCGATTCCTCAAGGACATAGAAATAGAAATTCCATTTGACCCAGCAATCCCATTACTGGGTATATATCCAAAGGATTACAAATCGTTCTACTATAAGGACACGTGCACACGGATGTTCATTGCAGCACTGTTTACAATAGCAAAGACCTGGAACCAACCCAAATGCCCATCGACGATAGACTGGATAGGGAAAATGTGGCACATATACACCATGGAATATTATGCAGCCATCAAAAATGATGAGTTTGGGTCCTTTGTAGGGACATGGATGAACCTGGAAACCATCATTCTCAGCAAACTGACAGAAGAGCAGAAGATCAAACACCGCATGTTCTCACTCATAGGCAGGTGTTGAACAATGAGAACACATGGACACAGGGAGGGGAGCACTACACACTGGGGTCAGTTGGGGGGAAATAGGGGAGGGACGGTGGGGGGTGGGAAGCTGGGGAGATAGCAAGGGGAGAAATACCAGATGTAGGTGATGGGGAGGAAGGCAGCAAATCACACTGCCACGTGTGTTCCTATGCAACAATTTTGCATGTTCTTCACATGTACCCCAAAACCTAAAATGCAATAAAATAAATAAATGGGGAAAAAAAAAAGTATTAAGGTACAATCCCTGCTGCCTCCTGTAGGGGATGAGCTCCACCCAGGGCAGGGACTGACTCTCCCTTGTTCCTGGGCTCAGTGCCTGGCACACCATATGTATCAGAAGATTTGTTTAAAATGATGGTGCCTGTGTTTAGCTACAGACAATTTCCCCCAAAAGAAGAGAATTTTCATCTGTCATTGTTTGAAAACAATAATTACCCACAGGCAGTTCCAATACCTAATTGCTTCTCTCCAAATTGCAGGCAGTTTTAATGACGCTGTATGTGAGGTCTCTATATTCCGGCCGGGTGCAGTGGCTCACACCTGTAATCC